AAGCATGCATGAATGAGTTCATATGCATTTATGGACTTTGAGTTCTATCAATTCTTTTTTTCGTTGGGATGAAAGAATTCTACTTTTCAAGCATAGTCCCTATTCTACTAGGGTTTTTGAAGGAGACAAGTGTTGGCTATAATTTCAGCGTTTGCATATTTTCATAGAGAAAACAAAGATAATGTAACTTAGTCTTTAGGAATAATTTTCCGTACTTGTATTTCATAATTCAGCATACATATAGGTTGCAAGATATATCTTGACCACTCACTTTCCTAAAACATTAACCACATAACAAGACCCAAAACTCAACCATTTATATTCTCAAGTCAACTAGATACACTTAACAACTAAGTATTATCTAGTATACTATTTTTAACAAAAAGATCATTTTAGTTCTTAATATGTTTTTACACTCTAATGAAGACAAGCTTCCTAAGTGTCCGTAGCAAAATTTGCTTCAGAGATTCCCGTGTCTTGGAACTTATTTTAGAGCACGCTCAGGGATCAATATGCTGACTGATATCAATATCTTATTTCATAGTTACATACAAGTTAACTGCTTGTGTAGTCTTAAGAACATAGCCCATCAGTGAAGTAATGAGAGACATCATGTTTTAATCAGCCTACTGATCAAAATCTAAACTTTAGAATGCCTATAATGTATGGTGTTCCGAAAAAAATTCAGCGCTATCAAATTTTCAGCTAGATGACAATTCAGGAAATGCAGAGTCATCCTTTATTCTACACGGGTCAAAGTATTTGAATGTCTATCTTTCTGGTTACAGCCAGGAAGAGTTTTGACCAAGAAATAAAACTTCAAATGTGCAACAACACCTCCATCTATCTGCAATAGCCAAAGCATCAAACTAATTTTCGCCTCATAAGTTTATGTGAGGGGATGCTTCTTACCTGCAGTTGCGTATGAATTATTTCCAGCTTTGATTCCTGAAAATAATTAGCAAGGAATCATGAACGATGTAAAATATTGAAAAGTAATTGCAGGCCAAGGACATAGAATAAGAAAACTGTACTTGATCCTGAAGAGCTTCTTTGAGCTGGGAAAACAAGCTAGCCCTAGTTGCTTCAGCACTTTCAAGTTCACTTACACATTGTTGAAGAACATTTTCCTGTTCCTGTATCTCATCCAACAATGTAGATCCCTGCAGACTTCCTACAATAAATAGTAAACCATCACAAATAGACGAAGGAACCATATAATGCACAAGACCCTAAAAACACTAGTAAATAGACGAAGGAACCATATAATGCACAAGACCCTAAAAACACTAGGATTTGAATTGGACAAAAATCACTCTACTCATAAGATCTAAAATTCAAACTATTCAGTTACCAAAAAAAAATATAGGGGATAGAAGTCACAAAAACAAGTGATTTTTTGCATGTAAGTTGGACAAAAAAACCTCACTTGAGGCATATAAGAGGTCGCCATCTTCAATTTTGTGTGCATATCACTTGCGACACACACAGAGAGTGCGCAAAATGATGGGTTCAGCAGGTAGCAGTTACTTACATACCGATCTCCAACCAAAACTAAGGCTCAGAAATCATATTTGCTTAAATAATAGAGGAGCCGTATAAGCTAAAACTCAATGCCGATCAGCAGGGACAAATCGACACTCCTAGTCAGTTCAGAAGTAATCACTCAAAACTACTAACGCCTCCACACCAATCCATCCCATTTTTTCCGTAAGAAACATGAGATCAAAGGGTACAAAGAGGTTGGATAAGGAATTCAACAAAAGATACAAGAGAAGACTAGAAAATCACTATAAAACTGGACAATACATACTATCAGAAAACCGCATGGCAATTTTGATGAATAACAAAGGGGGGAGGGTCCCTAAACCCTTAGTAACTGATACCAATAAAATTATCAAACATTTAAGCCTTTGCAAAAGACATTTTACTCAACCTAACCTATTGCTAATTTGTCGAGCTTCGCTTTGTTAAGAACTTCAAGGCACATAAACCCTCAAGTCTGACAGCAAACTGAACACCTAAATAATGTAGACAAGGTTATGAAATTTTCATTCATCACCTAATCAGAAGAAAATTGTATCATCAGCAAACTATAAATTAGAAACTCCCATATTTTCTTTTCCAAGCACAAATCCTTCCAACTAAATCAAAATTTCTCATCCTCGTCATTAGTTTACATAATACTTCCATAACCAAGTAAAGAGAAAGGTGACATGAATCCCCTTGTTTGAGTTGTCTAGAGCACTAATTCATCCTATCAGTCTACCATTCAATGTAATTAAAAAGTTCAAAAAACTCGAGCAACCTTAATCCACCTCCTCCATCTACAACAAAACCTTAAACCTCTAAAATAAAGTCTAAGAAACCTTAGTCCCCATGATTATAGGTGTTTAAACATTGATCTTGGAAACAAGCCCCTCCTTTCTTTTCAACCTATACTACCCCATAATTTCATTGGCAACCAAAACCACATCAATAAATTGCATGCTCTTTCAAAAAGCACCTTCAAAAATAATACAATGTCACCTAAAGCTTGTCGGAACGTCGTGGATAAAACCTTAAGAAGAATACTCTAAAAGACTATTGACCAAACTAATGGGTCCAAAGTCTCTAATCCTCAAAAGGTTTGATATTTTTTGGGATCAAAATAATGTCAAATAAGGATTCACATTAACAATTGCACTTTGGATATACACTACAAATATCTTCTTCAAACCCTCCTTCATAATCTTCCAGTTGTCGTGGACATTGCCGTATAATACCATCAGGGCGAGGAATACAACGGTTAGGTTTGTTCTCTTCTCTCTCAAAGAGTAATCACAGCCACGTAGTCTTCCATTTGCATTCTCGTTTGCTTTTTTGTTAGATGTCAAGTAGTCAATTATCTATTCATCGACCTCTCAACATTCTCAATTTGTTGTCCTCTACCTCCATCTCTCTCTCATAAATTACTAATTTGTAGGAACTTCAATGCCTTTGTATTTGTTGCCTACCATAGATATTGTTTATTCACTTTTTTCTTTCGTGCTAAGAATAAATTACTCTAGTATCTCCTCTTATAAACAATAAAATTAGTGATTGTCCCATCAATGAAAAGGGATGGTAGTGTTCATACCATATTACATAATTCTGTTAAGGGTAAAATCTAGTTTACCTCCTTGTGGTTTTAACTTGGCTTAAATTTTTTGCATCCATGTTCTCGAATCTAGCATGTGCAATAGTTAAAGTCACTTAGAACGTAACTAGAAACGATAGCACTTTAGTCTAGAAACACAAGGGGTTTACGTGATGATTTCCAAGCAACATAGGGTGAATTGCAAAATGCTCAAACCACAAAAAGGTAAAGTGGTAAACTGGATTTTCCCCTTCTATTAATAATGGACAGATTGCAACTATTTTCGTAATCCTTTCAATCAAGCACTAGCATAACAATAAGGAAATGAGGACAAACGGAGGGGCAAAAGAGAAGAGAGGGCCAATATAGTTCACTCTATGGTCACTGCGAACCCATCATGAGTCCTGTTCACATCAACAGTCTATGGTAACCCTTTCTTTGGGTAGAAAAGGACTACGTTCACCACTGATGTCCAGTCACACAATGTTCTTGCAACTTGCAAACATGCCCAAATGTCAAAGACAATTTCGGATTCAAATGCTCCAGAAAGCTTAAGCGACAAGATAGCAATATATTACATGAACTTCAAAATGCCATTTCACATCCAATATGTGCTCCGCTTATAAGATGCATAGAAATTCAACACCAGACCTTATTAATCTATACAGCATTGAAGTTTTAATAGCAATTGCATCCCCTAGGTCTCTAGGACAAAAAAAGGAGTATAAATGCTGGAAAAAATAAAGATCCCATGGTTTTCAAATAACAATTCATACAGTTAATTGAAATCTTTGCTTTTCAATCGAGATCGAACCAAATCGGGAATTGCAAGATTTAGAAGTAAACACGATAGGTGAAAACAAATAATATACACATGTAAGAAACAAAACAAAACATTATATCCAAAACTAAGGTCGCTGGTAGTATACTATGACTTACAGCATTACTATTGAAAATATAATAATGCACTAGTCTCCTTAGGGTTGCGAACACACTGTCTATACTACCCAAAACTTTGCATTAATGAGGGAGTTTATGGCTTTGCCATATCAATTTACCAGTTTTGTCGACATCACACAGTGTTGCCACAACATAGCTATATAAAGATTTGAACAAATGTTAAATATTTCATGTCCACTTTTTTACAATATTTTTAAAAGGTTTTTGAGCCTTCAACATTTCTTCTGCTTATAATGCAGAATCCATAGTGATGATTTCTACCAACATCTTAGGCTTTCTAAAAATAATCCACCGAATTGCCATCATACCTAAAGTTGAAGTCCTCTGGTGTCCACTCCACCCTAGTATTCAGGCCTCACAATCACTAGCCAACATACTTTTCTCATGCTTTTCTGCCTTCATTTAGCAATATGTTTTGCCCCTATCTTGGCACTTGACAAAGTGTCTACAAAATTTTGGTAAGTTACACCCCCAATAACCAAACGCCCTTATTACTCGTTTGAACAACATTAAGACAAAATGATTTCTATTGTGTATTTCCGGTTTGTTTTTATTTTTAAATTGGATGTTGATTGCCACAACTCTCTGTCAAACAACTCCATACCACCACCTGATTGTCATTGTTGATTAGATAAATTGTGGATTGTAAATTGATGATTGCAGTTGGTTGAATTGGATTTGATTTAGTAATGCGATTGTTTTTTACATTTTTCTTGATGCAACAATGGCAATCAAGTGGTGGCATGGAGTTGTTTGATAGAGAGTTGTGGTGACGACAATGGCACTCAACTGGTAGCGAGGAGTTGTTTGGCTGAGGAGGCCAACGACTAAGGAGCCGTCCAAGCGAAATAGAACTACAACTCATCATAGGGCGAAGAGATTTGCTCACAAACAAAGGGCATGACACACCCATTGGCCTTAGATGGACAAGACAAAGCGCAGAACTCAGGTGACAAAAACTCAAAGAGGTGAAGGTCCTGACAAGGCTAGAGCCAAACAGAGGGATGGATCCGGGGAGGGAAATGGGCGTGATGCCACGGAATGCATTGCGCTTGGTGATGCAATACACCGAGTGCCACCCCGATTGTGCATGCGATATTCCCGTAGGTTCGTTTGTCGTTGGGGATCAAAATATTTCATTCTCATTCCTAGGAACTCAGTAATGTGGCCAACTAGGTCAGTGGGGAATGAGAAAGATAGATTTGGAAGGACTTTATTAGGAGGGGCCGTAGCGTTTAGGCATACAAGTGGGAACGCATTAATAGATAGCTAAACGTGGATGCGATTGTCATTCCCCACTAATAGAAGTCGGAGAGAAGGCTTGGGGTGATGGGTTTAAAGACCGGTTAGGACCAATGAAGATGAAAGTGGAGTAGGAGTAAGGGCTAATTTTGAATGATTACGGGATAATTTTGGATCTATTTGAATTTGTGGGTCGTGTCTTTTCACAAGACTCTCGATGCGCTACCGCATGCGCTAGATCAACAACCGAGGGCAATTCCAGAGGCGTTGTTGCAGGCGCCAGCATCGGCAAAAGTTCCCTCCTCCGCTGTGAAAACCCGCTATTTATAATTATATCTATTGAGTTACCAAGTTTTTAATTTTAATAGAAACTCGGATGAAGAAATGGACTTAATCGTTGAATTCCTCTCACAAAAACAAGTCTTACTAGTATAATATTGACCATGTTTGGTATCGAGGTCAAATTAGCTCAAGTTAAATTAATTAAACGGAACTGCCATGACTATTTAGCTGACATTGGTCATGATAGGAAGGCAAGGAAACATAATTACCCTACCATTGCCGCCCATGACTCTTCACCGTATGTCACAGGTCACCCCTTATCATAACTATGACTTACCAATTAATTGGATAGAAACCCTCTCCTTCTTAGTGTATAAATACCGGCAAAACAAATGAAAGATGGGGAGAAAAATAATCTGCCAGTCTTGGTACTGAAAAGAAAGTTGCGAGAGAGAGAGAGAGAGAGAGAGAGAACCTACATTGTTGGAAGAGGAGAAGCTTAAGGAGCAAAACTTTGAACCTACAACTACTAGCTCTAGAGAAAGGTAGGAATTACAACTCCTTTATTTTCTTCCATATCTCTCTACAGTTTTAATTTTTTTTTTTTTGCTTTGTAAGTTGCTGATCTAGTTATATGTGGTGTGCATGTCGATGAATAATATGTGTGGATGAGCTATGTACATATATATATATACATGCATATGAATGAAAATTGTCAAATGGGTCTTCGAATTTTATCAAGGAATGAGATGAAAATTTATTGAAAAGTAATCTAAGTCCTTGGTGATGAATGGGGAGTTTTAGATTTGAAAGAAATGAATAAAAGAAACAACTTATGGCAGAAAAAGAAAAAGGGGAGAAGAAGCTTTACTGATACAGGGCTATGGACATTAGAGAAGATGAATGAAATTTTGTCTTAATTCTAGAAAGGTCCCTTAACCTTAAACATGTTATACCTATGTACTTTCTGAAATTACACAATGACCACAGAAGTTTATAAAACATTTCCAAATGCCAAATCAATATTTCTAGTAGTTAGGAAATGTTTCTGAAATTGTATATTGACCCCAATAAGTATGAAATACTTTTGAATATTACAAAATTACCTCTAATTGCACGATGAAGTTCCTAAAGATTCATGAATCGACCCAAAAGATTATAACCGTGTGAGAAGACCATCAAATCACGTGTGGTCTTTAACATGGTATTTTCTTGGAGTTGTAAACTACTCCCATGGCGATGAAAAATAGGTATATATATATATATTGATTGTTCAAGTAAAATGTGATTACTTAAGAAAGTTAAACCACCAATATATATGAAAATTTACAAGAGAATTATCATGTGTGAAGGGTGGTACACTTCCACATAGTTAGAATGTTAAATCATATATATATATATATATATATATATATATATATATATTGATTTGAGTAGCATATACTCGTATACAATAGGATGTTGAAGTGATATTGAAATGCTTATTTATGATTATGTTATTTGCATTTTGGTTGTTATCATGCTTATTTATGGTTATTTCGGTTAGAGTTTGAGACCCATGAAATGATAATTCTTGAAACGAAATTGGGACAAGTAAGGAGCGATCGTTCCTCCCTTAGGTGAAAGACCAGAAACAAGTCTTGACCAAGCGTAGCATCCGTCGACGTGCGCGATTACTCGTACCCTGATTGAAAGTATCTAAGGACGAGGGGGTAGAGTACACACGAGGTTAGAGCCCTCAAAGGGACCTGAAGTTCCCAAAGTGTTTGTGCATAGCAAACAGTGTATTGACTTAAATGGACAGATACCGAGAGTGAAAGTCTAGTGCGACCCCATGACATGAATGGGTAAGATTGGTTACTTGATTAATTGAAATTTTAAATTATTCATAGGCATCATGTTTGTTGGTAATGTTTATATAATACCTCATGCTATGTTTTAAATAGGTTGTTACATAAATATTATTCGATATGAACTTACAAATATTGATACATATTTTACGGGATGGGATTAAAACTTAGTAGTTATTCCTACTAAGCGTGGCTCACCCTAACATATTTGCAGGGACTAGACCAAGAGATGACGAGGATTTCTTCCCAGAGCTATCTTGAAGATCTGTGCTTAGTTGGCTTACGAAATATTATATTTCACGTTAATGTTTGAGAAAATTCCAGACTTATGACTTGTGTTTTATTGCTTTGGTGCTTTTTCAAAACCTATGGGTTTAACAGTGTCGATTAATGGACTATATTTGCGATGAATGTAATTTGGGCTTGTGGACTATGATATTAAATAAATGCTCAAATTGCAAATCCATTGTACCTAAGTTTACTTTGAGAGGTCATTAGATGCTCGGATTATCCAATTTTATTTGGAGTAATTGAATTGTTCAATTCATTCGATGAATTGTGTCTATTACTACATAAATCACATAAAACATACTAAATCACCCCTTGAGAACCGGGGCGTCACAACCGCTCCCTATGCGAATTTAGACTACGATCCTCTGGAACCACAAATTGGGGGAGAGAGCCTCAAGTGATAGTTTGGGAGGGGAGATCAATCTCAATCTTTCGAATCTTTCTCTCCTGCCATCGATCGTTCAAAGGGTCAGTCATTTTGGTCAAGAACGGGCCAAGCAACTGTCCTCAATCAGTCTGGTAGCATTTTCCGTATCAGCTCTTCTGATTTGTATCAAGGTTCTATCCAATTCTTCTTTTATATTCTATATGGCCGATTCTCTTTAGCAAGAAAGCGTGTTCAATGAGTCATTAGTCAATGAACTCGGGTGGACGTGGAGAGGATTTGTTTGGTTATATGTGCATGACTTTGTGTCGCTTGCACAAGGCAAGAGAAAGTGTATATGTGTGGTGTGTGACTATTTAGGCGTGAATGTGTTGTTTGTAGAGACAGACACAGAGAGGTGCTGGTTTTGGAGTGAGTGTAACGCAGAGAGAGAGAGAATAGGAGAGATTAAGAGAGTTGTGTGCATATCTGCTCTGTTGTGAGTGTATGTGATCGCATCCAAGACAGAGAAAACAGGAAGAAAAAGGGAGGAAGAACAAGAAGTGTGTTTGAGTTTATTTCTAATGTTCAAATGAGGAACAAGAGTGTGTGAATGTAGGGAGTGTTTTGATAATAGAGTTAGAGACACCCTTCAACATTTTCGATGGCAGCTAATGCATGGGACCACATTGTTTCAACATCAAAACTTTAAGGATTAAATTGACAATTGAAACTTTAAAGACCAAAGTGAGTAGTGCTAAAGCTCGGGGACCATTAGGATAGTATACCCTTGAGAGAAAGGACGAGAAAATAGGTAAACAATAGTTAGTCTCAAAACACTTGAAGATGCTCTAAAAAGCAGATCTCAGGGGACAAATAGGTATAGTTTTATAACAGGATTTTTTATGTTATTGAATTGTTTGAATTGATTTTTAATTGCAAATCGTATGATTTTAATGCAGCCAGCTAGCATTAATTTAAGTTTCAGTCAAAGGTCTTAGATAGTGCAAAATTTATCAGACAATAAGTCTTACTTGATTTTTGACTATGTTCTCAGAATTATGAGGTACTTAACAAGCTAGTTGTCTCTTTTTCTTTTTTTGATAAGGTTAGTTCTCTCTTTTGGACTTTACATAGTTGGAAATATAAATATGCCAGCTGTACTTGAATATGTACTGCTATATAGGATCTGGATCTAATGTAGGGAGTCTTGGTCTATCCAATAATCAATTACTTGTAAGTGTTCTTCAGGCTGGATCTTCCTTTTATTTCTCCTTTCTTCCTCTTCTCTTGTTCAGAATCAATCGCAACAGTCAGTTGGAGCTGTGGACTACATCTGTTATCAGAACTAGTGGAATGATGAACGTGAGATTTGCGATTATGGCTGCTTAAGAATGCAGTAGGAAGCCTACTCGACAGATGGTTGATCACAATCCTCATACAAATGACGTTGATTTTTGAATGGATACATTGGGTCCCTTACTCATTGAGAAGCAGATATAGAATTTCCAACGTCTGTTGAAGAAGGTGAAGGCATACAGTGTGTAAAAACCCAGAATATTTTTCTTTGAAATAAATAACTAAAACTACCGACATATAATGAAAAACTTGGATAAGAAAAAAGACTTCAAAATTGACTTTCCCTCATGAAAATGAGTCGGATGACTACTATATTGACTATGTCTTGCACCCAAGGATCAAAATATCGTTTCGAAACAGTCGAAACATCCAAAACGTTTCTGTTTATAAGGAGACCGAAACGAAACAGTGATGGAATCGAAATTTTGATATTTCGAGGTATTCCACAATGTTTTTAAATGTATTATAATATTTCAATACATTTACACAATTATTTTGGAATATTTCAAGATACTTTGATATATTTCCATCAATGTTTTAGAAAAATAATTCTTAAATTTTTTATTTTTTTTATTATGTTTCTAAAATAAGTCGAAACGTTTCCGAAATACGTCGAAACGTTTCCGTTTCCTAGGTGACCGAAACGATATTTTGATCCTTGCTTGCACCAGGGACAAATTTCCCCACATGATATTAATTAAGTGGACTCCAATGAAATTACAAAGACTAAATGAGAAAAAAGGACAGCAATTCAGCTGCTAGTCACTTTAGCCTATGACCTATGGACTATCCTATTCCACAACTTAACTCAAAACCTATACCCATACAAACCATGATTTTTGGATCTTATTTGTTTCCCACTATTTTTTGTTAGATCAAAATGATGAAGTGGTAAAGAAAGAACAAAGCGGAAAAAGGAAGGCAGCCATGTTACCATGGAAACTGAGAGAGAGAGAGATTTTCC